CTTACTTCTGCTGAGGTCACGCTGAGATGCTCTTCATCCGGTGGTGAGGTGAGTCTAGTGCTGGGTGGTCTGTTCGGGTCTTCAAAGCGTGCATAGAACTTGTTGAGGGCATCAGGCAGAGATGGGTCTTTGGGGCATTGTTCGCTCCTTCCTTTATAATCTGTTATGCACTTAATGCCCCTCCACATGCTCCGAGGGTCTTGTGAGATGAAATTGACCCTTGATCCTCTTTGCATATGTGGCCTTGGCCCTCTTAATACCAGCAACCAGCTCTTTTCTTGTCCTACTCAGCTCCTCTGAGTTTCCAGACCTGAAGGCAGTGTTCCTGGCTTCCAGCAGGGTACGCACCTATGCATTCAGCCAAGGTTTTCTGTTTGGGTAGCTTTTAACATTTCTGATAGTGGAGACGGTTTCAGTACATGTACTAATGTAACCCAGAACTGAGGATGTGTATTGGTCAAGATCCAGCGTATGAATGGGTAAATGAGACACAGATTATAGTGTAAAGCACTTTGAGTATCTTGAAATAAGATAGAAAGGCGCTGTATAAGTACAGTCCATTTACCATTTCCAAATTTAATGATAACTTATTAAGTTGGAACCGTGCTTGTATTTTTATGAATTCTGTCTGTATCATCTCTAACATCCGTTCAATATCTTCTCCTGAACAAAAAAATGTGGTATCATCTGCAAATAAAGCACACTTCAAAAGCCCTGACACATCAACCACATCATTCACATACAAAATAAATAACTTTGGTCCCAACACAGAGCCCTGAGGAACTCCACATCCGTTAACACTCCTAGGTAAAAGGTAAATGGACTGCATTTATATAGTGTTTTCTATCTTATCAAACAGTACCCATTCATACTTTCTCTCCGAAGAATAATCAGTGCTTTATCACATTCATACACCAATGTGACACACATTGGAGGCAATGAGGGGTTCAGTGTCTTGCCCATGGACACTTCGGCATGTGACTGCTGGTGGAATTGAACCCCCAACTCTTGCATTGGAGGATGACTGCTCTAATCACTCAGCCACAGCCGGCCCATACTGGAGACCTGTTGATAGGTCCATGAGTTAACTGTAGACACAGCAGTTTCTCTGTTTGTTTTACTAGAAACTGTCTATAAGGAACGTATTGTACAATGCCCACTGACAGAAGACAAAGTTAAACAAGTCACATAAGCAAAGGATGACCTACCTGTCATTGGGTGCCAACATGCTACGGATATTGTATCCCTCTGTTTGCCCCTGGGCTTAACCTCCTGGTTCAGCCTGTCCTGAACACAGATGAGAAAGAGGCTCTGGACCTGCATATGTTGAACGATCTTTGTTTATGTCTATTTTGGATTAAAAAATGAATCATCTTCTTCTAAACAACCTATAGTCTTTCTCAGGTCATATTGGCTCAACAGAGTCCTTCAATTACTCTTTTATAAGCTCCCCATAAGAGAACGGCTTACATCTGTTCACAACTTTGTGAGAAACGACTAAACCAGTCTGGACTCCTCCATTCCTCTATGGCAACATTTTGGTAAAAGGCTTTGGTGCTTGTGCAGTTTGGATCGTAAAGGGTCTGGTGTGAGTTGCTTTGTATTTCTCTGTGTTTAGTTCTATAATTCTGATAAAGCGACCTGTTCTCCACAAACAAGCTCACCATTTAGTCCCTGACTTCAGGGGCTTGGTCGGTTACTTTCACTACAGTGGTACAAAAGCATCCAAATGAACTGAAAGACTTGTTTTTAATAGTGCAGCAGGCACAGTGTCTCATATTTACCTGACCTATATGAAAATATTCTTGCATGGTAGAGCAAAAACATTTGCCTCATCTCTCTCTCTCTCTCTCTCTCTGTCCCACCTCATTCTACCTACCTCATCATCCTCCTCCTCTTCCCAGCTGAAGAATCAATATCAAAATAGAAAAGTTTTTATCAGAGGACATGGTTAAGCTGTAAAAACTCAATGCTGGAAGGAGCTGGCACTAAACATGCAGTATCTGTGTGTTTTAGTTATTTTTGTTGTTCTTTTTCACTCATATTTTGACGTTTAGCTGCAGTGGCCCACTTTTCCTAACATTAAAAATTGATGTAACATGAACAGATAGATGTAGGTTGGGAAGAACTGCAGGAACTGTTTTTTTTGTCTTGGTCTTTAAGTTTAAACCCAGTCCTATAGTACATTCTGATGTCTGTGTTTCTTTAGGCAGTAAAACCAGTGGTGAGTCCACAAGTCAACCATGGACTAGGCAACAGAAGACTCATTAACTTCTCCCTGTCAGGTAGGTTGCTATGTGTTCTCATCAAACTCCTTCCTTCCTCCACCCACATCATGAACATTTGGGTTTTAGACACTGACAGTACAGATGTAAATCATTCCAGCAATGGTCAGTGACTTTTTGACAACTTCACTTACTTGAAATGTTTTAGACTTTTTTCCCTTGAATTCCAGCTCTGACATAAAGAATCAAATTAGCAGGATTATAAACCAATTTTGTAGAGTTCTCAGTGTTCCCCATTTACAGAATTTCTTCAGTGATGAAGACTAAAATAATTTCAAGGGAGAGGTTAACAGACATCCATCCATCCATTACCTTTACCCGCTACTTCCCCTTTTGGGTTGTCGGGGTCGCCCATGTCCAGCAATCACTGTGCGAGGGGCGGGGTGCACCCTGGACAGGTCTTCAGTCCGTCACAGGGCCACATAGAGACAAACAACCATTCACTCTCACCTAGGGACAATTTAGAGTTACCAATCAGCCTAACATGCATGTTTTTGTCCTGTGGGAGGAAACCGGAGTACCCTGAGAAAATCCATGCATGGAGAGAACAAACAGACTCCACCCAGATAGGCCCCCGGATTGGGATTTGAAGCAGAGGAATCTGCTCACTGAGAGGCAGCAGCTCTGCCAACTGCACCACCATGTTGCCCCGTTAACAGACACAAGCTGTGCATTGTTTTCTTCATGTATGTGAAAACATCCAAACCATTGATAGTTAGCCATCTTGATCAGTACTCTCTGAAAGAAGAATTAATTAATTTCATTAGAATTCCTGGTAATTCCAAAATAAAATCATATAAATAACGTCTAAACAGGTATTTCTTGAAAATGAGTCAGCGTCACTCAATGAGACTAACCTGTATAAATAAAAGTTGAATGAAAATGCTCAATAACCCAGGTAGATAATCTTAACAAGGTTGAGTCAGGTCCTCTGCACGGGTTTTTCTGAGACTGAGGAAGTCTTTTGGATAAATGATGAAACATTTCAAGACAAAAGACTTTCTCAGTCTGAGACTCAAGAAGGCAAAAACATTTCAACAATGAATAATCAGGAACTGCATCTCTGACACAGTGGTCAGCAGCACAGGAGCACCACAGGGGACCATGCTCTCCCCAGTTCTGTTCCCCTTGTATGCATCTGACTTCAATTATAACGCAGAGACTCGTCACGTGCAGAAGTACTCTGATAACACTGCAATCGTTGGGTATGTGCAGGATGGACAGGAGAGGGAGTACAGGACCCTGGTTGAGAACTTTGTAGTGTGGTGCAAATCCAACCGTCTACAGCTGAACAGCAGTAAAACAAAGGAAATGCTAGTGGACTTCAGAAGGCCTGGGTCTACCCTGAAGTCAGTCTCAATTGAGGGGGTCGATATGGAGGTGGTCAGGACCTACAAATATCTGGGCATACAACTGGATGATAATCTGGACTGGTCAGTGAACACGGACTCCCTCTACAGGAAGGACCAGCGCAGGCTCTACTTCCTGAGGAGGCTTGGGTCCTTCAGTATCTGCAGGAAACTACTGCTGATGTTCTACCAGGCTGTGGTAGCCAGTGTCCTCTTCTGTGCTGTTGTGTGTTGGAGAGGCAGCATTAAGAGGAGAGATGCAGGGCGACTTGACAGGCTGGTGAGGAAAGCTGGTTCTGTGCTGGGAACAGAGCTGGAATCCCTTACATCACTGGCAGAGAAAAGGGCCCTCAGTAAGCTACTACCCATCATGGACAATGCTGACCATACTCTGCACGGTGCTATCATGAAGCAGAGGAGCTCCTTCAGCGGTAGACTGCTGTCCCAGTCCTGCTCCATGGACAGATTCAGCAAGTTCTTTGTCCCTCAAACCATCAGACTGTTCAACTCCTCCACGCACAGTAAAAATAGAGCCTTGTAACTCTGCAGCACCCCTGACACTTATGTATGTGTGTACTGTACATGTACATAAACATTTGTATATACATGTATATGTATATATGTGTCTGTCTAAACAGGTCTCACTGGTAAATAAGTCTTCTAGGTTCAATGTGATTTATCTGTACATGTAAAAATTGAATAAATGAATAGTTTGTATATATATAATGATTGTGTGTGTTAATCATGAATGTAGTACTCCCTACCACCTGAATGTGCATATTGTCTTTTTCCAAATTTGTGTGGACCTAACTCAACCTTGTTAGACAGAGAATTAATGGTTTTATTATGTGTATACATTTCTTATGAATGTGTCTTCATATCAGGTGACAAACTTGTTTTTCTGCTAACCTTGTGCTTCCTTGATTTCTGTTCAGGCCTTCAAGCAGTTGGACTGAAGAAGGGGATGTTCTTCTACCCTGATCCCTACCTGAAACTCTCCATCCAGCCAGGAAAACACAGCATCTTCCCTTCTCTGCCACATCACGGTCAGGAGAAACGCTCTGGAGTCGTGTGCAACACAGTCAACCCTCAGTGGAGCACAGAGGTACACACACACACACACGCAACGCAGAGTTTAAATCATAATTTAAGCTGTTTTTCATCATCTGTGTTTGCAGCTAAAACACTTTAGAGAGGCCTTCACTGCTCTGAGATGTAGTCTGTAAAGACAACATAAAACTAAACGCCTAGCATTCCTTGAAGGAATGTATAGCACCCCCTGCCTTTCCTGCTAGAGTTTTAACTAAGGTGATCTTATAATGAGAAAATAAGTTTCAGATGTTTTGGTCATCCTTAAAAAAATATGTTATGTGTGATCTCATGTAACATACTGTGATGTCTTCGTGCTTGAAATACAGTATATTTTGTGAATTACTCTCAGCTGCTACCACACCAAATTCTAGCTATAGACAGTAGTTCCTTGATTATTGAGAGGGTTACGCTCCAGACACCCCAGTGATAGTTGAAAAACCATGACCATCTTATCAGGACAATGAACTATCTGTTTAGTGCTTCATGGAACGCCTCATCGTCAAATGCATATGTACATGTTCATGAATGGGCTGCTGGCAGAATTTTTTGATGTCTGAAGTCATGTCCTGTTAGGACAAGGTGTGAAGAGATCTTTTTTTTGTAATGCCACTTTCCTCTCCTCATGGCTTTGTCCCTTTTTCTATCTAAAAATTGTATTCTGAAAAGGATAAGAAGGCCGCACTTATAGCAGCAGCTACGTGCACTCCGCCCATCTATTGGACGACTATACGGACATATTCTCATTGTATCTCGGTGCAATGATAATAAAGCTGATTCTAATTCTGATGAAGTAGGAACTCTATATTTATTTTAGTATTTATATATCTTTTAAGGCTTTATAAACTTTTCCCACACTCTTGCAAAGTTCTAAACTTTTAAACTTATATAATTTGAACATCTGTATATGTACTGTACAGTACTGCAAATTTTACTCACCAGCTCTGTAGACCAGCAGTTCGGTTCCGGTCGGACTCAGTTCCAGTTCTGCAGACTTACCTTGCAGCATGAAGCCCACCGCCCCGTCCAGGTTGATGTGCACGTGGATAATTGAGCTTCAGGAAGCTTCAGGATTATTTGAGACTTTCCTGCCAGTTCTGTGAACTTAATAGATAGATCATCACTTCTGACTTTGTGTTGCAAAACTTTCCCTCCATTTTGGCAGAAAACAGCAGCCGCAAGCACTGTTGGCTTCTGGGTAGTGTAGTTCTTTTGACTGACGTTAAAGTGTAGATTTATTGACAGAAAACTACAAAATGGCAGCGCCTGTCCGAAGTATTTTTTTTCATTAGCTTTTTATCCCATACCGTACCAATCACGTGAGTAATATTAAAGTTGACAATCGTTGAAAAACTGCGAAAGTCAAACCGTGAAGTAGCGAGGGACCACTGTATCTGTTAAATTAGCTGATTTTAGCTTTTATCATTAATAAGGGTCGAGATGGGGTAGCGGTAGGGCAGACGACTTGGGACCAGAAAGTCGCAGTTTGACTCCCAGCCACTCCATCTTGTTGTTGTGTCTCTGAACAAGACACCCAATCTCTAACTGCTCCCCGGGTGCTCACATAGCTGCTCACTGCTCCACCTGGGTGTATCTCAGGTGAGATGGGTTAAATGCAGAGAACTGATTTCATCATTGTACAATGATGACAACACACAGCACATAATATAGCCGACTTTGGAACAAGTGGAAGATGATGGACGGACGGACGGACGGACGGATGGATGGATGGATGGATGGATAATATAGCCATTGTTGATTGAGTCATGTGTTCTTTAGCTGCAGTTTGTGTGATATCTTGTACACCAGTGGGTAGATTTCTTCTGGCTGTTTATTTTTGGCTCATATAAATATCTTGTCCTTTTTGAGAGAATTGGATTTGGCATAATCTGTTTTTTCTCTTTGATATTTTGTTTACTCAATGTGTAACTGGGACCTTGAGTACATAATTTAGTACCCCTCATGTACCACGTGACGCGAATGACAATAAACTTGACTTGATCTTGAACTTTTGGCCACATTTT